ATTCTGCATTATGTTTAATTAATTGTATGTCGATTTATTTATGAAACAAATCCCACTAAAACAAGACCGCTTTTAATACTTACAAAAAATGCATTTCTTCCTTTTTATTGTATCACTTGTTAAAAGCAAGCGGAATCAACAAGACTGTTTTTAATACTTACAAAAATGCATTTATTCATTTTTATTATATCACTTGTTAAAAGTGGAATCAACAATTTCACTTTCAACTGAAAGCGGAATCAACAATTCCACTTTTAACTGAAAGCAGAATCAATAATTCCGCTTTTACCATGAAAGTGGAATCAACAATTCCGCTTTTAAAAACTATCATAGATCGGTAAATAAGTTTAAAAGTGTCGTACTTTGGTGTTTTTGTTTGCAAAATGCTGTATTTTGATAATTGACTCATACTTGTTGGGAGGTCGATTATTCAAGACTAAAATATAGGTGAATATATAAGAAGTATGAATCATGCATGGCCTCTTACGCGAACATTCATTTGTCATGCCTGTTGTTAGGATTAGTAATGATGATTAAGTATAAATTAGAGTCGTGCTTTGCTCATTCTGTATTATATTTAATTAATTTTGTGTAAATTTATTTGTGAAACAAATCCCACCCTTTTTATATTAAGTAGTTTAACATATTGTGTAAAGATGAATCACCAACATTTTTCTTAGGGTCCGTTTGATTAAAAAAAGTATAATGATAGAAAGTAAGAGATGGAAGAAAAACTTAATTGATCAATTGGCTAAGAAGATGTGCAGAAATGAAAAAGGTAAACTTCCTTGATTAGTCGACCGAGAAGATAAGTACTGAGAGGAGTTGTGGTGTGTTAAAACAGGGACAGTGGTAAACAATGAAACATATAGCAAGTTTCATGAAAAAAAAAAAAATTGTGTAGATTTTGTGGCAAAATAGAAAGCCTCAATTGCAGAAAAATCTGATCATGCAGAAATTTTTTTTTTCCCCAAAAAACTGTTGATTCCTACTTACCAAATGCCAGTTTTTTTTTTGTTTCTCTTTCTCCCATTTTCCACCATTCTCTTTTTAACCAAACGAACCCACATGGATATATTTCAAATGAATGACATTGCAAATTCATGTCTAAGCATGAAAAAGTACCAACTTATAAATGGATATTTGCCAAACAAATATATGTGGATATTCGACAGCTGTTCATCCCCATTCTTTTGGATTTTAAACTAATATTTGTGCATAAATCGACGATTTATTTTCATCATTCATTTTCATTACTTATTCCTTTCTTTGTACTTGCTTCACTGCATCACTTTCTTTCATTGGATTAATTAAATAACATTTCTAGCTTGATTACCAGTAAATTGCAAAGGGTAGCCCACTAGAGTAGCTAAGGAAATGTCCGTTGAAGAAGGCTACACCTAAATCACATAAAGCAGAAGTGGAAGCTGGAGCAAGAGCGGGAGTACAAAAGTGAAAAAATTTAAAAATACAGAAAATTGTCGATAGGTACCACATAAATTACATATTTGTGGAAAAATACCTTGCTAAAAAAGTATTGTAGATAAGTACTATTAGTTGAAAATGTATTGTGTCTAAATACATAATGACAACTTTTAAAATTTTTTATTTACTGAAATACCTATAATTTATGAACTGTTTAATTTGACACTTTTCTTTTTCGTGGGATTTGTTTTATTATATCAATGGTTTCTTATTTTAATAAAAATATCTTTTTTTTTAATAATTTATGGACCGTTTAGTTTGATAGTTCCATTTTTCATGGGATTTGTTTTATTATATTAACAATTTCCTATTTTAATAAATTAAAATATTATAATTTTAAACGTATATTTTATTCTTCTACTTCAACGTTCGACACTCTTTTGTTACTTTAACGACTCTTATTACACTGTGTATCACTGTCATGTTCTTAAAAAGCATTATGTGATGTCACACTATGGTTGTCACACTGTGTCAAGCATAGTATTTAATTTGTGTAAGAATCAAGAAATATAATTACACATTTAAAAATGTAAATTGTGTTATTACACTATGATATAACACTGATATGTCACATTGTTTATTGTCGGTGATTACAATTGAAAAAAGTTAACGGTCGGATTTCAATGGTACTCCAACGTATGTATAGCCAATACATAGTTCTCACAATTTGCAATTGTTTGTTTTTTTAATTTGGTTGAAATCTCATGAATTTTATGATAATTTTTGTTTGAATTTCAAACATCATGTTTTACGCGATATCTTAGTGGCTGGATTTTATGGAAATGATGGTTGAATTTCGGTTGTTTCCAAACCCACGAGGTTACGCCGATTATAATTTGCGCTTTGATATATTTGACATTCACAAATAAAAAGGACCTCTCTACAAATAATTTTACCTGAAGTTTTTTAAACAATTAAGTCCTATATTGTGTATCGATCTACAAAAATCCCTAAAAAATATTTAAGAGCGGGAATACCTTGAAAGAGTCATATTATATACATCAAGATAAATATTAACCATAAAAGTTAATAAAAATTAAATATAAAAATTAAAGTTCATGCACAACTACATGGGAAACTATTTAATATTTTTAAAAATGTATTGATTATAAGGTCATGAAATAGCAATTATACGTTATAAATATTATTCTACTTTGATATGTATATTTATGTATAAGTCAATACTTTTCAAATAAAAATTTAAATAATAATGAGTAAGCATATAAGTAAGTAGGATTATAAAGTCACAAATTTTGTAAAATGAGAGAGCAAATTCACAAAAAATTTACTCTCAAAGCGTGAGTGCCGACTATTATAAAGAATTATGTGAGTAAGGGCTGCACAGACACTCCCTTTTTTATTTAGTTAACTTTGCATTTTTATTTTGTGGAATTAAATAGGGTAACAAGAAAATAACAAAAAAATAGAATAAGGAACCAAACAAGCTCACGGTGGATTTCAATTAACCACCCAATCACAATTAATTACATTGTGATTGAATCCATGACGTATTTAGATCCTCTAAACTTTAATTTAGTTCAATAATTAATTGCAATTCCATAGATATTATTGAATGATCGTAAAACTTATACGAATCAATTTTTTGAGAAAAATAAATTAAATTTAAAAGATCTGTATACATTGAGAACACTCTAAAAAAATAAAAGAAATTGATGGGTGATGGCACTCAATGAGTGCGGCCGTTGTCTTCGTTTTTTGCCATACAAAAATTGAAGGGTGTCACTGCTACAGGCAGGAGGACCCATTGATGGTGAATTTCATGATGGTGTCTGCTCACTAGAGTACTGAATACCTCACAAGTTAAATAGTAAGTCGAAGGCTTTTTGTAAGGATTTGTTGCAGACGCCTGCATGTGAAGGATTATAATTAGATAATTATGACATTTTACAAAGAACTCAAGACTTCGAAGATATTGAGGAGCATATATAAATATGGTATGATACTTGTTGGGAGATAGATTAATCAAGACTAAAGTATAGGTGAATATAAAAGAAGTATGCATCATGCATGGCCTTTTACTCGAACATTCATTTGTCATGCCTATTGCTAGGATTAGTAATGACTAGGTATAAATTAGAGTCATGCTTTGCGCATTCTATGTCATGTTTAATTAATTTTGTGTCGATTTATTTATGAACAAATCCAACCGAAACAAAATCATACCTGTTAATTTTATATTAAGTAGTTTAACATAACGTGTAGAGATCACCAACTTTTTTCATAGGTGTGCAGAAATGAAAGAGGTAAACTTCCTTGATTAGTCGGCTAAGAAGATAAGTACCGGAAGGAGTTGTGGTGTGCTAAAATAGGGGCAGAGTAATAAACAATAAAAGTTTCACAAAAAAGAAATAATAAATTTTGTGCAGATTTTGTAAGAACATAGAAAGCCTTAATTGCAAAAAAATCTAATCACGTGGGAAATTCGTTTTTTTCCTGAGAAGCAGTTGATTCCTCCTTAGCAAATGCCAAATTTTTTTCTTTTTTTTTCATTCTCCCATTTTTCACCATTTTCTTGTTAACCAAACAAACCCATAGGATCTATTTCGTGAAGAATAAGATTGCAAAGTAGAACTGAGACAATTGCAAAAAGACAAGGAGAGTTCAACGTACCTTTCACCTTGGCTCATTTAACTTTTTATAGACCTTATTCAGTTAGGGTTTCCATGCTTGTCGATTCAAGGTGACACACCTTCCCCTAATCAGGTTATTTTGTTCAGGAAGTTGCTAAGATTTCTCTCGCAATTCCTTCTACTGAGCCTATTCGTTTAACCAGAATGCTTGAATTGTAGACATCTTTTTAATACCATGTTACTGTTTTAAACAATCCGATCGTGACGAAGACCGAGCTCATTCCTTCCTTTCTGAGCTTTCTGATCTGCTCGGTTGTTATTTGATGACAACTTGGTTGGATCTCATCCTCTGCTCGGCCGGAACAACCTAGTTGTCTGTTCGGTCGAATTTTATCCTCCACTAGGTCGGACCTATTTTAGCTCGAACAGGATAACCTAATTACTTGCTCTGCTCGACCCGGATAACCTAACTATTTGCTCGGCCATAATAGAGTCATTCTAATAACACTTTTCGGTACGTACAACTTATCATGTGTTCAAATTCAACTATCAAATAATGATCAAAATTTATTGACCCGTTAACTCCTATTACAGCTTGCGACTCAATTCTACTTCTCTCTCCCAGTCACCCGCACAGGTACATACATTTAAGTATTACCTTGCCACAGCCGATGACATGGTGTTGAGGACCACTGGGTGACCCTTGTCACTCATTAATTGGTTCAGACCTAACCATAAGGACTACCATAAATAATAAAATAATATTAGATAGATTTAAAAAATAAAATTAGACTTGATAATCTGAACTATTGAATAGGTAGTGAGTCCCAATAAATACTGAAATCTACAATAAAATCAATGGTTAAGATTATCAAGTCTACTTTTTAATTCCATGTAACATTACTCGTAATAATAGTGACTCCCATGTACACCAGATCTGGTTGTTCAGAGGGCCGTCCATGCTCATCCGGACCTTCGTACATCACCTGTGATGTAAATTCATGGAACCTGCATGCCATTGAGAGGTAGCCCTTAACTACAGCGCTATATTATATCATATACCAACAACAATATTTCACATATAAAGATTTGGATGCAAAATATGTGTATAACATGTCATGGCTAACATTCATAATTAAAGATCTACTATGTCATGACAATTTATAATATAAAACATGTCAGATTTTAATAAATAGATGAGTAATACTACACTGATTAAAAGGAGTGACCAAATGACATGACAAATAATGTGAAAGGCGGCTGATCAATTACTGTGCAATATTAATTTACTTCTTTATTTGATTTGCACAATGTGAGTATTCAATATTGCACAGTAATTGGTCAACTGCCTTCCACGTTACCATGTCATTTGATTACATTTTTTAGTCTCTAATTTTGGTCAGTGTAACATTACTCTAAATCTATACGACAATCTTAAATAAATTAATGTAATAATTATCATTATTTCTTTCAAAACTATTCATATTACACTAGATCTTCAAACACGAGTTACCTAATAAAATGAGAAAATGAGAAAAAGCAAGAACAATCACGTAACAAAATTAAACACACATATTTATGTATAGAACTGCACAACATCTACTATGAATCGAAGTAAAGTATAAAGAGAGAGATCAGACTGTCCTAGAAAATTGCTATGCAGTGTTAAAGTTACAATCAAGTTTGATGAAGTTACAATAGTACCCTTTTTAACCAAAGTGTTTAGTGGGATCGCCCATAGTGATCCGTTTGCTTCGAGATCTGGTGGAGGATTTATAGGCAGACTACGGTATGAGTAAACAGATTCTAGATTTTTCCAAACCGTTAATGAGCACAATAAATGGTCAAAATGACTTACATATTAATCAAGCTAGTTCTTGTCATTAAAGCTCTAGTGTGGGATACCATATTGACACAAATCTTAATGTCATTACACAAACTGCATGTGCTATATATATATTTTATACATATGACTTCAGTGTGCCATTTTTAATCGAAAACATACTAAGCTTAGCTATCTCTCTCCTCTCTTCTTCTCCTTCTTCATTTCCTTCTTGGTTGGTCAGTCCCCATCAACCTAATATGCTCAGTAGTAGTAGCCCTGATCTTCCCCGGAACCGGAAGTCCCTGCAAATCAAGCAAGATGACAAGTTCTTCTCTAGGCTTGTGTCTAAGGACAGTTCCATGGCCAACCCTTCTTTCAGAGTCTACTATGGAGGTGTCTCCGGGGCAGTCCCATTCGTGTGGGAGTCTCAGCCTGGTACCCCAAAACATACATTTTGTGACACCTCTCTCCCTCCCCTCACACCACCTCCATCCTACTATTTCAACAATGGAAACAAGAAAACAGTAGACAAGGACTCGAGATCTAAAATTTTTCACAATTTATTCCGAAGGATCAATCTGAAGAAAGCCCATGTGCCACAATCACTATCTTCATCATCATCTTTATCATCTTCATCGAGGTCATCATCACATTCATCGATGTCAGTTCCAAGCACACATTCCAGCTTCCTTAGACGGAGGCGATATTCGACTCCCAGCTCATCATCATTTGATGGTATGATATGTGATGAAGCGTTGGCGGGATCGGATAGTTCATGGTTGTGTTTTGGCATTGGTAAGGACAGGAATGGTGGGCTTCGAGGACGCTATTCGGTTGTGATCATGAAGAAAGCCTTGCTGTCGATGGTCGGCCGTGGATCTGGATACGCTACAGCTTAGCAATTCTCCATATAATCTTGTTTATCTTTTCCTTAGCTTGATGTTGGAGCTTGTTGCCCTCTGATGGAGGGTTTTCCTAGTTATCTTGTATGGTAGTAACTTCAACTACCACAACTAGCAATTGAAATGTATGGTAATGGTTGGTGTTGGTCCCAAAAAGAGTAATAAGCAAGTTCAATTTCAGTATGAATGTAAATCGTGTTAATATCCATTTTACATCATTCTTTTATTCTTGATCTTCTTCTCTTCATCTTGAATCACCATTTCACATTCTCGTTTTACTGTTGATCTTCTTCTCTTCTTCTTGAATCTCCATGTGTACATGTTGAGTTTCTTGCAGCGATTCATGCCATTTGTGCGGAGATAAAGCAAAATCAAACACAAGCAGGCTCAATATACATATTTAGAATTCAAATCTATTTACAAGCTTAAGTTAGTAAGCTCAGTATATATTGAGACACTTTTCGCTTATTTTTCCTACCGATGTTGAATTTTCATACGTGATACTGCAATAAGTAGAAGACATTCACTGTGTAAACAAGTTGATGGATTCCAATTATATGTTCCAATCAGTAAAATGGATTTAGTCTCCATTGAAGTTGATGATGTGTATAACGCAATTGAGCAGAACGGAGAATGCAATGTGCACTGAAGTATTCAATTTGAGTTTCAAGACTCTTGGGAACAAGAATTTAGGAGAATGTGGTCAATTACACAGAAAAATTATAGTGATTCACCAGCTCGTGAGTATGATTAATCCACTCTTCAATGGAGTCTCTTATTCATGAGAAATATATTGATAAAGGAGAAGTTATATGATAATCCAATAAAACTCTCATTGCTTGCCGGTGTTCTTCGCCTCCCTTATATAACATTTTGCTTGATTTGTGCAGTGGGTAATTGGGGAGTTGCGAATATGGTGCCTAGACTGGTGTCTGTTTCCATTGAAGAGAAGCTTAGTAGTTGCCAGCTGTCTTCCACTCCGCTTCCTTTGAAGTGCAGATTAAGGGAGCTCGAGATTTTTATGTTATTGGGCTCCCGACCGAATCTGAATAACTGAGCTTAGCCTTGGGATTTTCTAAGCATCACGAGAAGTCATATCAATTTAAGTAAAGAAGCTACATAAAGTTAGTATATATTATTATGGACTTTTTTTCTGGGCAACAAAGTATCTAGCCTTTAATAATCTCAGTCATTAGAAATGGAAACAAACAATGACAAAAAATCCAGGGTATCCATCTCCTTCTCTAACTTACAGACAGTACATTTACATACGGGGTTGCAATATGTGGAATAAACTTGATTAATGGGAATGCCTAAGAACAAGCATTCTTGTAGGTAGTATTAATTAACTTAGGTTCAAATCAGATAACTAATAACGCCCTATGGATTACCACGCTACATGTTTATATAGATCTCAAATCGACAAAATTCAGGTTTTTTTTTTGAATGCCGGAAGTCTGAAGGTGTATTTCCTTCTTTTCGGAAAAAGTATCAATGCCAGTGGTTGCATTTAGTAGTTGATTGCTACAAGACTAAGCCTTGGAAGATTCATCACGCTGTGTGACTATTTAATGTAAAGAGGAAAGATGGTTACTGGTTCCTATCTGTTATTTAATTTGTGCACAAATCTTGATGGGGATCTTTTTTTGGCTGTGTCTTGTCCTATATATATATATATATATATATACACACACACGCAACAACCAACAAGTAATTGCATCTGAAGTCTCTGATAATCACAGTCCAGTTACTACAATACTGAGGGAAGTCATGGTTAGTAAAATGCTTCTATTGAAATCAGCAGAGTCAAAATTATGCAAAATGTTAAACTGAATTAAATTAATTTCTGGGATTGCATCTGTTCTTTTGTTTTTCTTTCTTTCTAGTTATGTTGCCATCAAAATACTAAGCGAGCAATGCCACATTTTTTGGGGGGTTTTGTTTATCTCCCTTTTATTTTGGATGTTAGTAAGCAATTTTAGAAGTCAAATTTGCAAGGATATAAAGTAGAAGTTTAGAAGCTACTCAATACACTTTGGAGCTGAATCTTGACACGAAATCAAGCTTAGTTTCCGCAGATTAGTAAGATTTAGAGGGCAATTCACTTTTAAATTGGAAGCAAAAGTCTTTGTGCCATTTTATCAAAGTGATGTTGCCAGTCTAAATAATAGTAAACTGTAGCAAATATTTTAACACATAAACGTGATGATTACTCGCTTCTGTGGTTAATGTCATTACACAGCATTGTCACTGGTCCGTCCCTTGTGTGGTTGGCCTAGTGTTTTTCTCTCAGAAATTTTGACTGGAACAAGTAATTTAGAACAAATATCCCTTTCCTATTGCAAAATGTTGTGATCGTGCAGCAATTATGGTGAATAATAAGGAATCAAATAATTAAGAAAGCAGGAGAAAATAACACACAGAGATTTACGTGGTTCGGCAATGTGCCTACATCCACGAGAGCGAGCGGCCGTTCTTTTCCATTATAGAATAGGGTTACATCTTAAGTATTTATATAATCATAATATGGACGTATTTACAAAAATACCCCTGTACCGTACCGCGGGGGCGTTGCCCCCACACCCCCAACTAATCAGCGTCCCTTTTATATCAATCCCGCAAGGCAAATGCCGTCGTGGGCTCCTCTTCACTCCACTCCGCTACGCTCCGCCTGTTCTGGCATCTGCCTCCTTGCCATTATGCACACAGTAAATATGAGCCACACATACGCTAACACAAAAACATAAACAACTTATCAGTTCTATGTTTTTTTTTTCTGTAGCATGATATGACTAGACAGCAGGTACAATATAGAACACTTTTGCACTGGTCATTTGGCGATATTTGTGCCAGTTCCCTACTTTCAAAGTAGAAATATGCAAAAAGATTTTATTCTTTTCTTTCTCATAAATGAAGACAAAGAACCTTATCAGAAAGGGCAGATTGACATGGTGGGATGATAAGGATATACAACAACCATACATCAATCCAAAACTTGCATCTGTAGACATCTAATTTGTCGGCAGTCCTGGTAATAGGGGCTAGACCATGTCCCAGGAGCTTCTAATGCAAGCGGACCATCATGTTTATAGTTCTTTTCCATTCAAGTTAAATAATCATATTCTGCACAATCATTCAGCGGATAAGGGTTTTTGTGTGCCCCATGAGATCAGGTGGAAAATATCTGTTTGAGAAAGAAATGACTTGAAACTATCCTAACAATGGATAAAAAAAAATTATATATATGCGAAGATTGCTTCGTATCATGTATCCATCGTGACCAAAAAAAAAATGTATCCATAATTTCTTTGAATCTGTGATAGTAGTTTGTTGCAAGTAATTCATTGGATTTCAACAAAGTTTCATTCTGATTATAGTTCAGAATATCCACCGAGCTTCAGGTCCAACGACGAGCTAGAAAAATCCTCCAGTATCCTGGAAAGACAAGTCATATATACCAGAGGGTTCCGGCGATCGACCGTCCAATCATAAAGTCAGTCGAAAAGGTTCTCAAGATTTAGAGAAGTTTTCGATCCAGCTGTTGTCACCTACCTCGATCTCCTGCGTGGCCCATTACTCTTGGTGCTATGCCGCGCTGGGTAGCCCAAGAATCCGAGCACGTGCTTTATCCTTTTTATCACCACCAAATTTGAGTAATCAACTCTAAAAGCCCAAAGTCGTTGGTGCGGTGCATGTCACACTAAATAAAGCACAGTAGCTACTGTAAATTAAATTAATTTAATATTTGAATAATGTAATAATATAATAATAACAGTGTAACAAGTACACTGTAACAAAAACAGTGTATGTGGTAATAAATTCAAAATGGAGATGAACTATTTTGAATGAAATTATATGAAACTATATGTTTGATAAAATGTAATAATACAATATTTTGTGTAAATAGCTTATTACACCGTTATTGTTATATTGTTACATTGTTAATTTTACACTTTTATTGTTACTTTATTATTGTTACACTATTACACTATTTGAATATTAAATTAAATTAAAAATAAAACTATTTTCTAAAAAACAATGCATGAATTAAGATGCATTAAAAAATAATTCAAAATTTAGATAAGAGATTTAACAACAAGTGTATATATATATATATTAAAGTTCTCCCATAAAACTAGAAGACGTTTAATGAACCATTTTTCAAAGAAAAGTGGTCCATTAAATACACATGGATTAATAGAGAGAAAAAATGTCACAAAAAAATCAGTAAAATTCAAATAATGTACTTAGATACAAATAAGTATCAAAATTAAGGACTTAATTACCTAATATTTTTTTTATATACTTTTTTACAATTAAGTCTAATTTGATGTACCTCCTTCCAATTTTCTCTTCTATTTATTGTCTCCTAAAAAGGCCCGAAGAATATTGGAGCCTGGTTTGTTTGTCTAGGCCCATGATATTAATAAACCCATTGGTATTATTCTAATTTTTAGTACAAATTATTCTCATTGACTTCTCTCAAGTTGTTCCAACTCATATGTTTTGATTATCTTTAGTACATTTTTTCTTCAATTCCTTTCTTGACACACCATTCACTATTAATGAGTTTCTTGACACACCATTCACTATTAATGAGTGAGGGACACATTGTAGAGAAAGATATTGAAAAAAAAGTGTACCGGAGAGAATCTCATTACTCAAAGAATTGAGTTTTTTGAAACTTTTTCGTTGGAGAGTTTTTTTGTATTTGAGATAAAACTTTATATTTTTTCCGTTATAATTGTATTAATTATCCCATAGAAAAAGTTAAATGCATTCATATAGTGGGATTAACTTGGAGCAGAAGAAGGAATTGATGGATAAGTTTTTTTTTATTGAATCAAAACCAATCTAATACAAACTCCTTCTATAGATGGTCATTGAACTTATCAAAATTTCAAAACTATAATGTAGCCAGTGATGTGCCTGCTGGTGAAAATGGGGTTAGGGATGACTGGCTGAAGTCCAGCCAACCATTTGTAGCATGGAAGCTT